TTCCATTCCAGATATGAATAAATTTTTGAAATCTTCAGACAATTTCTATTGTTCATTTTTTATGTATTCTTAAGAGTGATATATGGAAAGAAAGCACACCTATATAAGCCTAAGAGAACTAATTCCATAGATAGAAATAAAAATTACAATGTCAAAACACATTGTGACATGGTGTAATGGGAAAATTTTTTACTTTCTTAATGCATGGACAAGTAAAATAATGGTACATTTTATTCTTGATAGCATCTTAGATTTGATGAAATATCTAGGGGAAGCCCCTGGCTACATCTCAGTGAACATCTTTGCACCCTATAGCCCAGTTTTAACCACAGCTGTCATCTCTGCCTTTTGAGGATATGCACATGCCTACCCACATACCAACCACTTCTGGAATGAGGTAGCCACAAACAAGACACCCTTCAGCCTACCTTACTGGAGCCCCAAGTTCTGCTCCCTGCCCTTTTGAACCTGCTCTGACTCATACCAGGGACTTTATCTTTTTAAAAAACAGTATTCTACCTAGTTTTTCCATTCTATACATGGAAGACACTCACAAGTGAGAATAGGACCTACAAGTCATTTCAAGTAGCCAGCAGCCAACTTTGACCATCAGCATTTAGGGTAAAGTAGGTAGGGCTTTCTTTCCAAATCAGTATGATTACACACTGCCACAAGCTCTGTAAGAAGTTCCTGATTTAATGAAGGGAGACAGAGCGATACTAAAGAAGAGGGTGGGGAGGGGGTGGGGAGGGCCCTAGCTCTGTTTGAGAACTCCTGGGTCTTCTCTTGGACCTTGCTGTAGGTCAAGGCTATTTCCTAATGGGAAGAGCAGACACGAAAGCCTTAGACTTGGCAAAGTCATCTCACGGTGGGCAAACCATGAGGGTGCTGATCTCAGTATGGATTTTTTTTTTTTTTTTGCTTTTAAGGGCTAGAATATGTCTCCTGGTCTGCTCAGCAGCTGCTTGCTTGGATGAGAGCCTCAGTTTGAACAGGGTACAGAGGAATTTGGAAATGATCTTTTAGGAGGTAGCACATGAGCAAATACAGGAAACTTTAAATTGCTGTAAAATGAAACGTTTCTAATCAGTAATTCATGATTTTTCACTAAATTTGATTTGGAGTTCAACTTTCAATCATTTTATGAGTCAGGTAGATTTGTTTCAGGTTTGGAGGAGTTATTTCTTTGTTCTTTTGATTTTTTAATTTCAATTTCATGTTAAGGTAGGTGATCTTATTCTGTCTGAATTTTTAAAGTTTTCATAAACCTTTCTAACTGCAGATGGGCTGAAACTGAATGTCTTCCAACAGCAGTTTCTACTTTTAGTAACTATTTAATGTTACAGGCCTAATCACTTATTGTTTGTGAATTTTAAAAAACTTATTTAAAATGTTTCCATGGTTTTGCATTGTCTCTTTCCTATTAGATAAGCTTTCACTTGCACAATTTTATCAGTCTCTGATAATAATTTGCTACCATATGCTTTTTATATAGCACCAAAAACTTTTATTTAATATCACAAAATAACTACTTTATGCACTTATATCTAAATTAAGAAATGAATACAATCAACATTTTATAAAAACACCGAAGAACAATAAACTTTTCCTAAAGTGTTCTCTCTTCTTGATCCTCATTGTATATCTGTTTTGATTCATGCTTTGAGAACATAGAAAAACTAGAATACATACTGCATCTCACCTTCCCTTTGAGATTTGACTCTTCGAAAGTAGAACTATATACTTTCTTTTTCTGCTTGGTGGCTTGGAGATACATCTTCTGGCTCATTTTCAGATTTAGCTGTGTTACTTGAAATTTGTAATATTCTTTTACCTATTCCTAACTTTTGTGTTCTCTGGTTGACTATTTTTTTTATTTTTATTTATTTATTTATTTATTTATTTTTTGTGGAACCGGGGATTGAACTCAGGCCCTTATGCTTGCCAGGGAGGCACTTATTCCACTGAGCCATCTCCCCGGCCCTTGGTTGACTATTTTTTAATCATTATTTTTATATTTTTTTGCGGAACCAGAGATTGAGCTCAGGCCCTTGAGCTTGCCAGGGAAGCACTTATTCTACTGAGATATCTCCCTGGCCCCTCTCTCTCTGTCTCTGGTTCACTTTAAATCCCCCTTTTCATATTCTCCCACCCATCATCACTTACTGGAACGATGGGTGAACACTCATAGGCAAAATTTTCTTCTACTATCAATTTTTGCTAAAGGGAATACTCACAAACCATATCCTTTTTGTCAAGCTTAAGGATGTGAATGTTTTTAGAGTTTCTGTTAGGACATTCAATTAAAATTTTAACCTTATTAGAATTTTCTAAGCTTTTAAGAATTGTATGTCTTTCAGAATTTGAAGACTAACTTATCTTGATCTTTCTTTTATTGTTTATATTTTGAACCAAATTTATGTAAGTCAATATCTTCTTGCTTTGTTTGGCAGTGTTTATGAAATTTCTAGTTGCAAATTAGTTTATTTTTATGAATTTTTAAATTTTATTAGTACCTGTTTGCAGTAACAATTACATCCATCCTGGGGAGTTGGTAGATGTACAGATCCCATCTTAATTCTCTTTTGGTCTCCTTCCCATTTACAAAAGATCTATCTCCCTGGTAAATTAATTTTAAACACTTGCCTTCAATCAGCAATGATTTTCCTTTTTTATTGTGGTAGGAACACTTAAAATTTGCTTTCTTAATTTTTAAGTAGACAATGTACTGTTTCTAAGTATAGGCACAGTGCTATACACAGATGTCTAAAACTTACTTGTCTTGCATAACTAGCATTTATATCCATTGACTAGTAGCCCCTCCATTTCCCTCTGCCCTCCATTCCACTCTCCTGTAAGGTTCACTATTTCAGATTCCACATATATGTGGAAGAATGCAGTATTTGTCTTTCTGGAACAGACTTATTTCACTCACCATAATGACCTCAAGTTTTAGCCATGTTGTCACACATTGCAGGATTTTCTTCTTTTTTAAGTCTGAATAATATTCAGTTGTATGTATGTACTCACATTGCCTTTATCCATTTATCTTATAGGCATTTAGTTCCACATCCTAGCTACTGTTAATAGTACTGCAGTAGATAAGGCAATGAAGAGATTAATTCTTTTGGATTCCTTGGATTCACACACACACACACACACCAGAAATGGGATTCCCGCATCATATGATACATATTTTTTTGAAGAATTTCCATACTATTTCCATAGAGGTTACATCATTTTGCTTTTTCACAGATAATATACAAGGGCTACAAATTTTACACATCTTTACCAGTTTTTATCTCTGCTTTCTTTGATAACAGCCATACGAATAGGAATAAGGTTGATATCCCATTGCAGTTTTGATAGGTATTTATTTGATGATTAAAACACATTATCATATACTTGATGACTATTTTTATGTTTCTTTTGGAGAAGTGTCTATTCAAATCCTTTGCCCATTTTTAACCAGGTTATTCTTTTTGTGTTTATTTGTTTGCCTATTGAGTTCTGAGTTTCTTACATATTTTAGAAATTAATCCCTTATTAGATAATCGTTTTCCAGTATTTTTCCCAATTCCCACCTTGCTTTTTCAGTCTACTCACTGTTTTCTTGCTGTGCAGAAACTTCACTTTTGGTAACTTTTATGTATCCAACTAAGATGTTACAAAAATTAGAAGTTGAGCTATTCATACTGCATAAATAGATTTTGGCAATTTTATCATCAATCAGTACAGACTATTCTCTCTTTGTTTTATTTTCTTCTTTTCTCCAAATCCCTAGCATCATTCCTCTCTCTACCACAAACATTTTTTTTATTTAATTCATTCACTTTTTATTCTTCTTTTGGCAAACATCAAAGAATGTGAGCAAAGCTACACTGCTCACTATAGTTACATTCATTTTCACTTTACACAAGTTGTAAATATTTAAGTGAATAAAATTCTTGTTTAAAGATATTTCCAGAAGAACTCTGACATATACTTTTACAAATTAGGACAAAAGAATGCGTATGTAATATCCATTAAACCATCATACAGCACACTAAATTAGTACATGTACATCTGCAATTTAAAAAAAAACTTTGCAGTTATAGATAAAATAATATTCACCTAAAGTTTTATGAAAAAATAGGTGAGTGTACAAATCCTGTTCATAACTGTACTGACCATGACCATTTCAAATAATTTTAATAAAAAAACAAGAAAATTCTAATTGTTCTTTGTTTAAAAAATTTAGAATACCTTGATAAAGATAGAATTTACAATCACATTTTATATTTGATTACTTCTTAATGTTGACACTTTCATTTTAAATCAATAGAGTACTTCAAAATAAACACAAAGCATTTTATATTTTACAATTCCATTCCTTTATTAACTTCAGAC